TTTTAATTTTTTCAATACTAGCAATATTGATTAATTGTTCAATTGGTGCTATATAAAGCTTATGGAGGAATGTAGAGTTTCCATAAATTTTGAATCTTTAAATGTGATTTTAATAGCTAAGTGAAATTTTCAACCTTCTTTTAAAATATTTTACACTGAAATGATGAGTTCTCAGATCTCTAAAATGAAAGTGATATTTTTGTTGGTAGAAAGTTAGCTTGTTTTGTTAGTTAGATTTTGGTAAAATTTGCTGGAGTGTGTGTGGAGTGTGCTGCCAACTAATAATTGTTTTTCTGAATGAAGACAGATGCATTCAAGAATATGCATGAATTGGATTTTCAAGAGTGCATATATACTCTTACTCATTATAGGTCCTGATCATGCATACTCTTAGACATTGTTGAAAAAAGTGTTATGTTTTTTTAATTTCAGCTATAAAAATGGAAGATTTTAAATAAAAAAGTAGCAGAAACTGTTTTTCATAAAAAAAAAATTTTTTGAAAAAGGAATGCTGAAGAAGAAAAGGAACAATCCAGATAGCTTATCTTAAATCTCAACAAGCCTCATTATAAATTATACAATTGAATAGTTCACAAATTTGTTCTTCATGAAAAGTGTGCGTAAGACTATTTCAACCTTAAACATGTTTGGCTTTATACTAGATAACTCTAGAAATTAGAATTTCAAGTTATTTAATTACTATTTGTTTCTATACAAGTTTGTCAAGAATTTTCTTTTAATTTAAAATATTTACCTTAATTGAAATCAATAAAATCCATAATTTCAATAATTGTTTGTTAACTTATCCTTACTATCTAAACCAGCACTTGTCTGCACCAAAAAATCATGTTTTATAAAATAGCAATAAAATCATTTCATCAGGATAATGATTTGCTATATGACTCTCTCAGATTTTTTTGATCTAATGATTAGAAAATTTGACAGCATCAGATTGCTGTTAAGCGTGTGTGTGTGTGTGGTTTTTTTGTGTGTGTAATGTAAAAGAAGTAAAATAATTTATCTGAAAACTATTTTTTATCAACAGCATTATAAAATCCAATAGAATAATTTTATTTTATTAAAAATTATTTATTTAAAAATTTTACATTATAAGAATCAATGGACAAGTATAGTTACAACAGAGAAATCATTTATAAAGGGTTGCATACTTTTAGACCTCATATTGAATAATCTTATCTACCCTATTTTTAAGAGTGCACTTTGCAAGTTTTTCCTTTTTATCTCCCAGTCTTTTCAAAACATTTCTTTCTGATTTCACCATACATTATTTCATTACGAACATTTCAAAGAGTCAGTTGGTAGTATCAAATCAAAATTTATTTTCATAGTAAAGCATTAATGAAGCAAAATCACAAAAGTACATATTCTTATATGGCCTTACTCTAATGTTATCAGTTAGTTATAATTATTATTACAGGCAATTCGCAAAATGTGAAAATTTTAAAATTTGTTTATGGATGTAATTTCTAATCTTCATCAAATAAAAATTCAGTCAGGTAGTGAGAGTTTTGCAAAACTCACAACAAAGCTTTGCTTATTAAAATACATAACTTTTTGTTAGTAAATAAAAGTGAAAGTTTTTGTAATACATATACTAAACTTGATTATAAATTTTCATGGTAATATAGAATGTAGTAGGCATGATATAATGAATCATAAATGAGAGCAACTTTAATTTCCAATTACATCATTAAAGTTTTTTCAGGAATAATTTTTTGTTTTTGAATTTTTAATTAAAATTTATTAAAATTAAAATAAATATTTATATAAACATACTCATCAAAAACAAAGTAGATAAGTAACATAATTATAATTATTACTAATTGGTAGATTTGATTATATTGATGATAAGTTTCATTGTCGCTATTGATATTAAAGACATTATAATAATTCAAACATGCATACTACTTAAAATATTTTAACTAGATTGCTGTATCTTTTTTAAAATAATTCATAACTGTATAGCTACTAAAGGAAACTCAATAATTGACTGTTAACATATTTTACTTTTTTATTTTAAAACAATAATTACAGTTTTGCTGTTGTTTATACTTAACTTCAAAACACTGGCACTTGATTGTAGTATTATACAACCAAAAGGAAATATTATTGGCAATATTTTTTAATCTATTGGCATTAGTTAGTTCAATTATTCAATTCAATTGTATGTTAAATGTCAAAGACAATTTTGCAAAACTAGCAGGCAAATAGCAATGGATAAATTAATAATAATAATAATCATAATTAATACATTTTCAAGTTACACAGATTTTGTTTTAGCAAATTTTTTTAATGTCAGCCAATAACAGTGGAATTTCCATTAATTTTAGCTTTATTTACTTAGTTCACATAGAATAAAGTCACATAAGAGTATGCAGCATCTAAGAGTACAAATTTTTAATTTTTTCAATACTAGCAATATTGATTAATTGTTCAATTGGTGCTATATAAAGCTTATGGAGGAATGTAGAGTTTCCATAAATTTTGAATCTTTAAATGTGATTTTAATAGCTAAGTGAAATTTTCAACCTTCTTTTAAAATATTTTACACTGAAATGATGAGTTCTCAGATCTCTAAAATGAAAGTGATATTTTTGTTGGTAGAAAGTTAGCTTGTTTTGTTAGTTAGATTTTGGTAAAATTTGCTGGAGTGTGTGTGGAGTGTGCTGCCAACTAATAATTGTTTTTCTGAATGAAGACAGATGCATTCAAGAATATGCATGAATTGGATTTTCAAGAGTGCATATATACTCTTACTCATTATAGGTCCTGATCATGCATACTCTTAGACATTGTTGAAAAAAGTGTTATGTTTTTTTAATTTCAGCTATAAAAATGGAAGATTTTAAATAAAAAAGTAGCAGAAACTGTTTTTCATAAAAAAAAAATTTTTTGAAAAAGGAATGCTGAAGAAGAAAAGGAACAATCCAGATAGCTTATCTTAAATCTCAACAAGCCTCATTATAAATTATACAATTGAATAGTTCACAAATTTGTTCTTCATGAAAAGTGTGCGTAAGACTATTTCAACCTTAAACATGTTTGGCTTTATACTAGATAACTCTAGAAATTAGAATTTCAAGTTATTTAATTACTATTTGTTTCTATACAAGTTTGTCAAGAATTTTCTTTTAATTTAAAATATTTACCTTAATTGAAATCAATAAAATCCATAATTTCAATAATTGTTTGTTAACTTATCCTTACTATCTAAACCAGCACTTGTCTGCACCAAAAAATCATGTTTTATAAAATAGCAATAAAATCATTTCATCAGGATAATGATTTGCTATATGACTCTCTCAGATTTTTTTGATCTAATGATTAGAAAATTTGACAGCATCAGATTGCTGTTAAGCGTGTGTGTGTGTGTNAAGGGAAAAAGTTCTACACTTAGAAACTTCGAAAGAAGGGATTTGGCCTGTATTGTCCGCGGGCCGCATAAACATTGCAACTGCAGGCCACATAGGGGGCCGTATGTGGCCTGCAGGCCGCAGGTTGTGCACCCCTGGTTATTTATAACAGAGCCAGGAAAGTAAAAATAGGGATCCATGACTTCGTTTTCAATATACAAAGGTAGTGACAATGTCCATGCTCTCTGATGCGATGAGTGCACCTAATGGAATTTAGGTTTTTTTTTTTTTTTTAACTTTTTCCGCCCTGTGCCCACAGGGCAGAAAGAGGTTTTCTTTTAGCAAACCCATTATGGATTTGGCCAGGCCTACAATGGGGCGACTGGGTGGTGAGGGCTGGAACTCAACATATCTAGACAGACCACCCCTGAAAAACTCCTGGGGATTTCTTTTTCAACTCATCTGAATATAATCCCAGGTCTCCCAGAGAGGTAGGCTGCCACCTTGACAGCTTGGCTATTGGCTGCTGGAATTTAGGCCTAAAGGTCAAAAATAAAAACAGTATTATGTACATCTAATGGAAAATAGGTACAAAAGATGAACAAAACACAAGAACAAAGCAATCACCACTGATTGCTTTGTTCTTGGATCATCTCTTTGTACTTGGCCAGTGCAAGGATCATGTCTTTTGTGGCTTGCAGATATGAGGATAGCCTCTCTTGTGGCAGAAAGTGCAAAGTTCACCTGTCCGTATTTGTCAGGTACTGTACAAGGATTATTTCTTCTGTGCCTGTATAGTGATCACTATAGAAATAGATAAATAAATAAAACTCACGCCAAAATTGTATAGCTTCTTGATGAAAAGCACTGAGTTCAGTGTTAATACGATTTTTCTTATATCGCAAGTACTTTTGATGAGTATTATATCGTCGTCCTCAGGCGAAAAAAGAACAAATTTGAAAATTAGAACGTGCAGAGTGTTCCAAGTAGAAAACGGAAAAATTTTTCCTGTCAATTTCTAAATTATAGCGTTCGGTAATTCCATTGGTCACGTGCAACAAGCTTTTGCTGGCGTTCGAAATATCTTAAATCCACACGACTAGCAGCGCATGTGTTGAGGAGCGATTGTACTAATTGTGCGACTCTTGGCGCTTTTTGCTGTTTAAACGCTGGTATAAAGTAACCCATATTTCGGGCAAGTCGAGTGTGGGGACGTTGCATGCGTCTGTGGTCATTGTAAGGAGCGCTTCCCAAATAAATGTAATTCTTCTGTTGTTACAGCTCCTGAGCAACGCTGTTTTTGACCATAACGGGTTATAGCCCTGCTGTAGAACTTTTCTGGCGAGCTCTGTGGTCTGTCTTCCTTTGTTTATATCATCTTGATGTTCTGCGATACGGCAAGCGAGCATTCTTGTCGTTGCCCCTATATACTTCTCAATTGTCCCTGTTACTGGATTTTCCAGTTGCACTGCGTATATTCTTGATTTTTCTAAAACGTCGACTTTATCCCGATCATTGCATATACTCCTGCGTAGGTTGGGTAGGGGAGTTAAAGGAAGAGTAAAGCTGTATCGCCGGAAAATACGGCTAATAAGTATGGACGGTGCTCCTAGGTACGGCAGCGCTCTAGACATTTTTTTTTTTGCTATGTAGTGTGGTAAACGGGAAAAGGGAATCTTTTACCCTACGTAGTACATGCGTAAATTTGGCACTTGTGAATCCAGCGTGATGTACTGCCGTTCTTACGATTTCCAGTTCGACTTTTATTAGAGCTTGCGATGAGGGAAGTAGCATTGCTCTTCTGATGAGAGCCGCTATGGCGGAATTGACATACCGCGATGGTTGAAATGCATCAGCTGGAATGATATAGGGGACTATGTTGGACTTATGATGCACTGTAAACTGCGGCCCTTCTAGTGATTTCTGTATCCGCATATCCAAAAATGTTATAGATTGATCCTGCTCCTTCTCCCATGTGAAATTGGTGGAATGAACGCTTGAAAGTTGCTGCATAAATTGGATAAACTCCTCTTCTGAATTTTCCCATATTAGTAGAATGTCATCTACATAGCGCAAGTATAGTGATGGGTAGCACATAGCAAGTGTAACTTTGAAAATTTTTTGTTCTACGTCCCTCATAATGAGCTCGGCTAATACTGCTGAGAGAGGAGAGCCCATGGGAACTCCTTGCTTCTGTAAATAGATTTTCTGGTTGAAGCGGAAATAGTTGTTTTCAGTGATGAAGATCAATGCTTCACGAATGTCTAGCACTTGTTGAACTGTAAAACCTTTTTTGAGGAGCATGGCATTGGCTAGCATTACAGCTTCAAATACAGGAACGGATGGGTACAGGGATATCACGTCCATTTTGTAGAACATGCTGGTATTGCCATGTGCTTTTGCCATGTTGGAATTAATGATGGTTTTGGCATCTATAGAGGAAGGAGTGACATGCGGTGATTCCGGAAGTAGCTCTCATAGAAACTTTGCAAGGGCTTTTTCTAGATGGTAAGTGGAATGTGACCTTTTGTTTACTAATGGTCATAGTGGCCAGTTCTCTTTATGCGTTTTTGGCTGGAAAAATAGCCTAGGGCATGCAACGTTGGATGGAGGATCGAGGTGTCCTGGTAGTGTTAAGGCTATTCCTGGAAGTGCTATGATTTTCTTTGCTCTTTGCAGTACTGCTGGTGTTGGGTCGCTGTTTATCTCCACAGAGCGTGATTGTAACAGAAACTCATTGGCCCTAGTGATGAAGTCATTTTCTCTGCACAAAACAAATCTTTTGTCCTTGTCCGATACTAAGAGCCTCAGATCGTTCTTGGCAAGGAATTTCGTTACTGCTTGTTGGTTTTTGCGACTATTTGGTGCATCGGAGATGTGCTTTGTTGTAGCAAGCTTTGTGATGACTTCTAACTCCATTTGCTGGTACATGGGTGCAGTCTGGCAGGCTTTTAAAGCTGCTAAGGTGGCTGGGACTAACTGGTCGAAATCCGATCTCATAGTATGTGAGATGTACTTGGGACCCCGTTCCAGTGTGTTATGTACGATTATAGGTACTTTCTCTTTTGTATAATTGTAATGTGGAGTGGTTACTACTGCCGTTTTTTGTGTACGTGTCGAATTGAGTAGCCACTGGAGCTTTTTGTCCAACTTCTTTTTAATTTTCTGCGTGGAGATTGATGTTATACTTCGCACTTTGCCCAGTTGAATGTACGACGTGGAGGGGTCACATACTTTGGAAAAGTACAGATGAGCTACATAGGTTTTTTGCTCTGCTTCTGCAAGGCACTTGCATTTGTTTCTAATTAGCTTGGTCAAAAGGGACTGCTCTACCTTCGGAAGTATCCCTCGTAAGCACTCCGGAAATTTCTTGTGCTTAAGCTGTATGCACTTTGGAACTACTCATTTTGCTCTACATTTCAAAAGAAATTATAATTGGGCAAGTAATTTTTGCCACAGTTTTTGTAGCTTCAGTAACATGAAAAAAGAGTTTTTCACAGTTTCCATTATGTATAGAAATAGATAAATAGATAATTTTAGATAAATAGATAAATAAAATAAAATAGATAAATAGATAGATAATTTTCAAATTTGTTCTTTTTTCGCCTGAGGACGATGATATAATACTCGTCAAAAGTACTTGCGATATAAGAAAAATCGTATTAACGCTGAACTCAGTGCTTTTTATCAAGAAGCTATAGTGATCACTTCTTTCCTTCCAGCTCTGCTGTAATTCTATTGTGATATGACAAAGTTGCATGATGTCCTAGTTACTTTTATACTTAATTGTATTTTATTATATAATTTTTTTGTTATATTGAAAAATCAAAAACTTATTATGATTTAAAAGATGTAATTTATGTAAAAATATATTTTATTCGAAAAATAGAATCTCTATTTAAATAACCTGATGAAGGACTTGTCAGTCAGTCCAAAAAGATTTGTTTTGATTAAATTTAGTTGCTGGAAAAGTATGTAAGATGTGTTTAGTGTCTTCATATAAAAATATTCCTTTCACATCTCAAAAAATTGAAACTATTACTTTCCAACAGACAAAACTGATTTTGTCTTTTACATTTTTGGCTGTTATATATGTTGTGTGTGGCCATCTGTGCAGAGTATAGGTTCACACAAAAAAAATATGTTTTCCCTCAGTATGCTCTGGTAGTGTCTTAATTCTCTATACAGTAGATCCCCCTATAAGACGGTAGATACGTTCCGTTCTTTATGAATCAATTTTGTAGGAATCATAGTTTACGGACTACGGCTGTTTGAAAGGTTTTCTTTCATAAAATTAATCGATTCTAGACTAATTCGACTCAACATTTCCAAAATACGTATATTTTTTTGAAAATAATCCGTATAAACTACGTTATAAACAAAAAATTGTAGGATTGCTTACCGAGTGTGTACCGTTCGACTACGCCCGTTGCTAAAGCTTGGTTTCGTCGCGGAACAGCGCATCAAACCGCGGCCGCGATTTCTGATATTATTTTTCTGCGAAAACTTCGTTGACCTTTGGAGACATCCTTAATATAAATAATTTTTATGGCCGTTAAATAAGAAATGTTTCTTTCACAAGAAATGTATAAAATTACAGTACTGGACAGACGATAGGTCGCCTAACTCGCCGTAGCGTGACGCTAGACGGCGAAAAATATATATTTAATTATAATAAAGTTACAATAAATTAAGTTAATATATAATTATATATACAGTACCTAATTTATATATAATTAATATATAATTATATGTACAGTACCTAATTTATATATAATTTATATAATACTGTCCAGACGATAGAAATCTCTCCGTAGCGTGGCGCTACGGACGGCGGGTAAGTAGTTCGGCTGCCCGATGACGTTTTACGTATTATAGGAGTTATTTTTACCGTTGTTTACAGATAATGCCACAATTTTTATAGGAATCATAACTATAGGAAACGCTTTTATAGGGGGATCTACTGTATTTTAATTGTGTTAATGCCTGTGATATAACTGTGTGACAGACATCACAATATATAAGAGATAAAGTATGGTGATCAGTCAAAAAAATATCCTTTCAAGATTTATATTTTTGGCTTTGGGACCTTGCAACATTGAGTAATGCAAAAAAATTTTGGGGGTTTTCTGTATGTATGTACATTTGTTTGGGTGGGTGAGACTACCTGATTTTCGTCACTCACTTTAAAGCTTAATTACTTCCAGTGGCTTAGTGTAGTGGAGGCGGCAGGGGTGGCAAAATTTCACAATAAATAATAATAATATCTTGTAAAAATTTGAAACATTTTATTTCATATTTTTGTCACACCTACGATTCGGACCGATTGAAATGAGCACGGAATAGTGTTACCACCTATCCAGTTTTCACCCGGACAGTCCGGGAATCGACTAACTGTCCGGGTCAACTATTAATTTTGTCTGGGAATATCGCACACAACCTGTCGACCTTTTTTCTTTTTTTTCTTTTGCTTGTACAAATCATATTCATACACATTTCCAATATCCAATAGAGCTAAGTCATCTAGGTTACTTATGTTACTCCTACCCAAGTCTCCCTAGTCCCTAACTGTAACTGATTTAGAACCAGCATGCACTACACATTATTCTTCACTGTAAAAGTTCGTCCGATGGAGAATTACTTTTAATAAAATAAAATAAAAGACAAAACTGTCCAAAAAGGATCACCATTTATTACTTGTGTTCCAAGACTAAAACATTTTCGGCGACTGACCTTCCTTTTTAGGCTACTTGTCGCCGTAAAGTTCACAAAAAGTCCTTTTAAAAACACAAAAATCCAATTAAAATTTTTTATAAAATTTCTGAAAAAGGAACTGGTGACATGCAGTTGTCTTGCTTCCATCATACCTTCTCTTGGGGTTTTTTTCTTCTTTTTATCTACTAAAGAGTAGCGCTGGAAAATGTAGATTTTTAGAGAAG